TGCAAACAAGAATGATTTGCTAGCATATTAATACTAAGGATCGAATAACATTGTTCTCTGATCTGGACATATAGGCTATAAATTAAGGCTTGGGCAACAAAAAGAATTTTTGCATGCTTTATCAGTGTCAAATTATTATAACCATATATTCAAATGTCCATCATATATGGAACTGGGTATATTTCCCTGAACTTTTTTTTCTCATAAGAATTTGGTAAATAGGAAGGAGTAATAATAAACTTTGCTCATTCAACCACTGCCAAATTTATGGGCAATCAGTATAATTTCAAATGTAGAGTATAGTAACATGGAAATTTAGAGAAATAAAGAGGTATTCCAATAATATTTGATATTATAAACAGGTCATAAATTATTTAATTTGATTATATTCTACTCAAATTCTGAAATGATCTTCATATGGTACAGCATAATATCTTTACAATACTGACAATGACAAGTGATCTGATGTAAACTGTGCTGTTAAATACTTAAGACAAATTAATAAATTCAAATTAAACCTCATTAATTTTACAAGAACTATGTAATATATTCTGTTCCTACCAGGTTACTCATCATGTATACCTCATTTGTAAGAAAAAATAATATAATGAAGCTGAACATCATTAAATAACCTACAAATCAAGTGACACGGAATATGATTTGTCTGGTCTCTGAATATTTCCAACTATGTATGAGAAGTACATGAGCTGATTATTTGAAAAGCATCAGAGAATTAATGTATGTATATGATTGACTGTATCTGTTTTCAACAATTATTTTTCATAATTCATATTTAAGATTACAACAGAGCTGGACATCCTTATCATATAAATTTCCTGTTTTCCTTTCTTCACATCTTTTAAACTATAAGAATTTTAATTTTACTTAGCACTGGAGATGAAATAAAAAAATGGTGCTGGAGCTTAAAGTTAAAATTCCAGTTCTGACTGCAAAAATTGATTGAACATGACATCACAAATCAACATTAGATTCTACTGCTAGATTCTATTGTTAAAAGCACCTCCTTGATATTTACTACTTGCTTTGTACCATTCTCATGAGACCAATTTACTTGTAACAATTTGACTGATGACATATTTTCATACATTTTTTTATACAGATTCATAAAAAAGTATCAAATGTAATACTGTATTAGTATGATAAGAAGCATTATAAGGCATTTATCAAGACTTTTTAATGTTTCAACAATTGCTACCAAGATTATTATCTAAAATAACTTATAAATGTAATATCATTCTTATATAACTTGGAAATGATGTAAAATGTGCACCTTCCCATAAAATTCCAGTTTTCAATACTTTATTAACATTTGTTGGATAATTTCATTATAGTATATACAAACCTCAATCTAGTTTCCGCTGTTCTTGATGGTATATATTACTGTACTGAAAGTTAAAATGAAACAGAGTTTCCTTGCATTAAGCTACAATTTTGCCTATATGTGTTTTAAGAATATATACCTACAATAATCATGTTATCGAGATGTTTCCATTTTCTTATGGATACTCAACTTTTAAACTGTGTATCCTTAAAAGATTTTTAACTATGAACATTCTATGAGTAGAGCAATATACAGCTGGATTATTTTATATGCATGTTTTATATATAGTATGTTTAATTCATTAATGTTTTTTTGTTGAAAATATTACTTTAACTTGCATTAAATGTGTTTTTTTATAAATACAATAAAGGTATGTTAATTTGAGTACAATGAATGCACTAATTTAGTTATCATCATCATTGGCGCTACAACCCAGGGTGGGTCTTGGCCTGTTCGAGCTTTCATAACAAATGATTTTTACTGGTTGGGTGTGTTTAATTTAGTTAATAACATTGTTAACTTTTTAAAATTTTGCTTGCTTCTCTTGTGTGACTGAATTTCAGTTTGAAATACTTCAATCAAACATTAGTCTTTTTCCACTTCAATTTCTCTTCTAGGGACTTGTTTTTATGTTACTTCACATGAAGGGTGCGTGAATTATTCAAAACTAATCAAATTTACAGAGTTAAACATTAACCTACTACTAATCCCTGGTAGCAGAACCTGCAGGTACAACACCAAAGCCCAATACCAGACTCGATCCTGAGTTGACTATCCATTTACCATCCTTACAGCCCACCTCCTTAAGATCTATCTTGATATATTCCCATCTCCTTCTTGATCTGCCAGTGGTCATTTTCCAGAAGTACTCCCTGCCAAAACTCTTCCCCCACACCTAGATTTCGCTATTTTCACTATGCTAGGTGACCTGTACAATTCATACAGCTCCTTGTTATGTAATATTCTAAATTCCACACTTATTTCACATTAACCAACTACGTCTGTAAAAAAGGCATACATAACGGACAATACCGTAAAGCTGACACTACAGATCTTGTACTTTGCACACAAAACTTAATTTCTTGCAGAATTCAATCTTATAAGTTAAAGTCAACCTGCGTTCGTAATTTCAAAACAATTGTATTGGAACGCGAATTCTTTGAGTAGCAGTTAAGAACGTGATAGAATTATAGAAAATCTATTTACCTTTGAGTCATAATCGGTTATCAGGAAAACTAGATCCGGGAACTACGCCCAAAAATATTTGTCACAATTATCCAACTCTACAATATTTCACTTTTTTAACACACTTCACTGTCTTCAAAATGTTGGTAGTAACTGCAAAAAGTCTGCATAATATACTTTCAAGAGCCAAAGCGAGGGAAAAAAATTGGGGAAACAATTTTAATTTGAACTTCCATGCCCTAATTCCCGCCATAGGAAGAAGTAAAGCACAGATAACCAAGACAGATAATTATGAAGCTATTGTTCACAGAAGATGCATGCCGGACGTTCGAGCTTGTCCACGGGGATAATCTGTACGTGTTAGTAGAAGTACAATGGATGCAGTTATGCAATTGTAGAATGTCGTGGACACAGATTATCACTAAGACAATATTTCGATCATTTGCATTACTGTTGGGCACAAAAAGAATTTTCATCCCGTAAACTTTAACGAGTCATCTATTATGATTGTATGAAACTAATATAAATGCTAGGTACTTTTGTTACAAATTACTATTCTTATATACGTTTAAGAAAATAAAGGTAGTGTGTTGCGTAAAGAACACCTGTGGAACTTTTGTGTAATCCATATAGAAATCCTTTCAATTCTTAAGTTAAATCTGTACTACAAATTAATTATGTTCGGATCAAGTTTGCGTATTTTTTGGTTTTCAAAAGTTGATTTATGAGGATTTTACACACACTCCGTTACCAGCACTGACTCTGCGCTTCCTACAGTGTTTTGTTTGGGTATAGAAATGTAGGAGGGTGTGTGTAATAACAAGAGGATATGATTAGTATATTTTATAACTATATGAAAACTAACCCATTGTAGTAATTACGGCCTTCGAGTGCATTTCTGTCTATTCTTACCCTTACCCTAAGATTTCGTTAACGTATACCGAGACAGCATATGGATAATTTGATGTGTTTGGGATACGCCGTTGCTGGCTACATACGGTATTGGTTACTTAATTCGGATTATAAACAGACCATTGGAGATCGTGTTGAGATTTCATCACCATTAAATTCATGGAGGAAGGGTAATATATATGAATAGAATAAAATTTATTACATTCCATAGAACCTTTGTAGGCCTAATCTATAAATGTAGAACATGGCATAGCACAAATACTTTAACACACATCAGTTACATAGTTATGACAGTAACAGTCAACTACAGTATTATATCAAAAATAATTGTACAAGAAAGCAGAACCACTATTCCTTACATGTATCATGTGTGCAGGATGTTTTGATGCCTGTAGTAGTACACTCATTATTTTCAGATATCCTTTTCACTGTTCTGGTGGGGAAACATGCTTCAAAGATGTTTAAGATGTTTAGGAATGTGTTGAATTTTTAACCTGTATTAAGGCTGTTTAATACTGACTCCCAGTTTTCATTACTTAGATGTGTTATTTAACAGTGACTTCATTTATAAATCTTTGTTTCTTGCAATTATGATAATTGAAGACTGATTCTGTACTGGAAGTTGTGCATCATATTATACCATAAAATTATCTTGATTTCATTCTGAATTTAGAACTGGCTTATTTGCTTTAATGTGAGCATCTTTCAGGTATCTTACCAGTACCTGATTTGCACCTAATCTCTCAGGCAATGAGTTGCACAAGCTTCTCCGTACCCCCTTTGAATTAAGGTGCAGTGCATGTCTGGTAATTGTTTACATATGCATTTGGATAATCTGCATAGGATGTACTTAGTAATTTGAGTAAAATTACATTAATATTGGTTACTATCACCTGGCATCTGTCAATTTGTTTGCTTTTCTTGCAGCATTCAGTAGAAAGCACAACTTAAACTTGATGCATCAATGTGATTACAATTCCTACAGGACAGACTTTACCTTGAAACATATTTTCTTTTCCCAGTAACTGAAGGTGCTTACTTGTACAGTGAAGGAATAAATCCATATCTGGGTGAAAATTTCCACGAAACACCTTTGGGACTTTTTGTATTTCACAAGATGATAAGTAATATACCACAGTTGACAGGTTTCATCTTCATTGTTTGTGATCTAATTACTGCACATGTGTTGTACCATACAGCACAACTTTTCATGAGTGAACTGGTATGTTGATAAAGTTGAATTTAATTTAAAGTTAATTTATAGACGAGTCATACATTATCTTGAAATTGAGAAGTAAAGTGAACTGCATGAATATTTAAATATTTATAATGTGTTAGATTAACATTACATCTTATAATGTTGACCACTTTTGTTTTCAGTTTTCAAGACAAATGAGAGAGAAAGAAAAGTATGCCAAAGATGCAGAAACACTTCTTCTAAAACAATCAGACCTTGTGTTGCCACCAGTTTATGTGGCATCTGCATACTTATTCAACCCATATATCATATTCAGCTGCATTAGTCAGACAACAACAGTATTTGCTAATCTCTGTCTTGCATTTACATTTTTATTAATGATAAAAGGTTTGTTTTAATAGGTTCCTCTGCATTATTTATTTTACCTAAGTTTTTTATTTGTCAGAAAGAGAAGAATTATCTTTTTACTTACTATATACATGAGCTTCATTGGCTTCTCAAAAATTACTCTTCTCTGCGGAGTTAGTTGGTCAAAAATTAATCTTCTTAAATGTGATCTAAAAGCATTTTAGTTCTCACATCTTATTTTAAAATCTCACCTCAGAATATGAAGTAAGATGTAATTCTTTTAAGTCCATACTTGAGGTATCATGTAATGGTGTGTTTCAAAATGTCCAATGCATAATAAACTTAACAGTTTTTCAGACTGTAACTGTAATTTAACACATATTAGGCTGTAATGTCCATGGTGCAATCCTGAAAATTAGATACTGAATAAATAAAGATGTAACAGTAATATTGAATTCATAGTTTTCATTTCATTCCCAGATTTATGGGGAATGCCCCAAATAAAAATATGAGATTGCCAATTGTCCCAGATTTACATAGATGTCTCATTATAACAAAATCTTGGTGGGATTCAGTTTGCTTCCATTTATTTACACTGTAAACAATCAGTTTTAGAGAATTTTGGTTCTGTTGTGTAGTTAATATTCCATTATATCAAGTAAATAACAGTGACAGTCTGCATAATTTTTAGCGCTTGCTTCTAATTAAAAAGGTGTTCTATTCAAATCCTAATCAGGATCACATATCCTTGTAAGACTACCTGTACTTGTCCTTAGTCCCTCACATGAAGTAGGTTCTGGAGCCAGAATAGCAGAGTCAGTAATGAATATAGTACATGCTGGGTGACCAGGGTTTGATATCCAGAACAGCTCTGGGGTCCATCAGCCCCCTATCCAGTGGGTACTGGGTTTTTCTCCTTGGGGATGGAGCAGGTGTGGTATGAAGCTGACCACTTGCTTCCATTTAGTGTAAAGGTTAAGAATATGTGAAATGATACATCCACTCCCCCATATGTCTACTTGACATGGTGCTTAGTTAAGCACCAGGGATAAATTTACCTTTACTGAAGTAGGTTCCTAAAACAAACCATAACTCATTTCATCCCACATATGTCTTCATATTTCATTTGACTGGAAAGTTGGCACAATGTTATTAAAACACTTTTACCTTAAATGATCTGTTTGTAGCAGAAATTTTATATATTTCTACCCATCAGAAGCCTTCTATCATGGATTAGCTTGCACATTTTTTCCAGAACAATCTGATGTAAGCACATGCTGAATTATATTGGTATTAAGAAAATTGTGTAGTCACATCCTGATGTCTAAGCATTGGATATTAATTATTTTATATCATGAATACTCTTTCATCTGTTATTACTGAACCATAAGATTGCATTTAAATTATTTTATATCTAATTTTTTGCTCTCAGAAATTAATTTCATATTACTTCATAAGAGCATATATTATTAACTTACTTAAGCAGATGAACAGTAAAAATCTCCAGTTTTGTATAAATTAACATAATATCTTCTTTTAGGTAAAAGACTTGCTTGCTGCAGTGTATTAGCACTAGCAACACTGCAGTCCTTGTATCCAGTTATACTGCTTGTACCAGCATCAATTTACATTGCCAAAGCAGAAAGCAGACGGTCTCTACGATGTAGTTCCTTCATTCTCACTGCTGTTACATTCATAACAGCTTTACATCTGTTGCTGTATATATCATTAAAGCTGGCTGGTGGCTGGGAATTTCTTCATGCAACTCATGGTTTCATGTATGTACAGAATACAAATAAGACTCCATATTAGTCCTCTTCTGATATGCTATGCTGTCATGATCCATCTCACATCCACTCTGAAGAATTGTGCAGTAATAAGATTAATCAGGATACCGTGTTTCTAATTTCCATGTGCAATCACCAAACTGAACTTTATGGTAAAGTATTTATTTCTCTATCATATTGTGTAATCCTTCAAAATGATCATTTTTATGTATACCACTTGCTTTCACTAAAAGTACCATTGACTGTTGAAACATTACTTTTTGAAAATCTTGTTCCCCTGATTGTCACTTGGACGTGACAGCTTTATAGAAATTGGAAACAAACAAAAAATGTGTATCACACTTTGTGTCATAATTTGCTGTTCAGGAAGGCATGAAAGAATATAATAAAGGTTAACACTGGTTGGAATGTCTCTTAGTTACTGTAAAAGTTCTGGGGTTTCATATATATAATAAAAGTGAGGAGGAGGCTTGTAGTTCCTCCTGAAAGGAAACAGGACAGAATTTGACCTCAATAAACCCATTAAACAGACACATTCTTGAACATTTTCCTTCATAAATCAAATACACACTACTGAATAATCAGTATGTTGATGACAAAACTAAAACCTGTCAGGTAGGTAATACTGTGACTTAGTTTAGTTTTTAAATAGTGCTTCCAATATGAAATGAAAGCATTATTGGCTTCATAGCAGCTGCTACTTATTATGAATACATTGCTTTGGAAGTACCATCTTAGTGATTTAAAATATATGTGAAAATAATTTTTATTAATATTTTGTTTCAGTCTAAATGTTCCAGACTTACAACCCAACGTGGGTTTGTTCTGGTATTTCTTCACGGAGATGTTCGAGAACTTCCGTCTTCTCTTTATATGTGCATTTCAGATCAACGCTACTGTATTATATTTAATTCCTCTCACTCTCCGCTTTCACGGTGAACCCATGTTGCTGGCTACAAGTTTGACAGCCCTCACAGCAATATTTAAGTCATATCCTACCCTTGGAGATGTGGGCTTCTACCTCGCTCTCCTCCCCATGTGGAAGCACCTGTTTAAGTGTGAGTTCAGGTTTGTTTTGAAATATTAGTATGTCACTTGAACTAATTTCTGGGTGCTTTTAGTGGAACGTTTTAATTTCACCTTATAGATATGCAGCAAGGATTTGTTGTTGGCTGTTCCTTCCTTAGTACATCTGTGATGGGTCCAGTTGTATGGCATCTCTGGATTTATTCACGATCTGCAAATGCAAACTTTTACTTTGGGGTTACACTTGCATTTGCAACTGCCCAAGTAAGTATGAGATCCCCTCTCTAGTTTAAAAAAAATGAAAACCCATTCCTAATCTGTATATATACATATATATATATATATATATATGTAACAAATTGGAAGCACCTGCAGGGTATAGTCCAGGGATTCTTAATATTTTTGTCTTCTTGATTACAATAGGCCATTCCCAAAGTTTCAAACATCACTCCTATCGAATTAAGATGAAATATGATAATTGCATGAGTTATCTAACAGTCATCAGTTTAGCATTAGATGGCACTCAAGCAGTTGTCCATGAGCATGATGAATGTCCCCTAATGGAGGAAGAAGCGGAGTGTGTGCTACTAGTTAGCTAAAAAGTTCTACCAAAGCCTACTAAAAATCTCATTTGTCATGTGTCCCATACTCATGAGTAGCATTTGCAGTTCATGTCTCCCATTGTTTGGTTCGATCTGGTTAAAAAACAATGGCATTTCGTATTGCTTATGAATTGTAATAGCCCTGCCCTGTCTGGTACTTAAATGTGGTATACCTTTACACAAGTGTTAAATGTTTGAAAATTATATGCTTAGGTTCAGTCTAATAAGTACTAAAGCATTGTTTGCTTTTTCCAGATTTTCCTTGTGACAGACATCCTGTTTGCTTACATCAAGCGAGAATTTTCACTTTTCCATGGTTTGCATCGTGAAGTCAATGGAAAGACAACTAAACTAGTGTTAGAATGAGGATGGGACAAGACTGTAAGAATGGAATTATGTGCACATATCTTCCAAAAAACAGGTGTGAAGGTAACAATGTGAACAATGTGTGGACCACATCAGGCAGTAGTCAGTCAAGTTATATGCCTTAGAAGGCATCAGATTCATTCCACAAGTCTGCATTTTTCAAGAGGCAACTAAATTAGGCTTGTTAAAGGATATATGTTGTTATATTTTAAATGAGTAAGCAGCAGGATGCAAAGAAACAAGAAGTGAAGTTGGACTCTTGGCTACTTAATATCACATTTTCTAGACTACAAGATGCATCAGAGAATGAGATGAACCCAAATTTTATGAAAAGTACCAGCTATACCTTCAGACCATAAGACATATTCATTTTTAGGCAGTATTTTCCAGTAAAAAATGTATCTTATACCCCAGAAAATACAATAATTTAATGCTTCAGGGGTGGAGACTGCTTATTTAAAATGAATGTACATTTTTTTAATGTTCATTAAAAATAATGCACTGATAGAACTTTTAATATTTTGTTGTGAAACAGAGAATATAACTATGTGCAATTCAAGAATAGCCTTTATTTTCAGCAGTTGGAAATCAAACCTCATTTTTTCAATAAGTGGATCATTTTTTCTGTTTTGCCATTTAATATTAAACAGATCCCAACTTGAGATATTCTGTTCCCCAGTGAATGCTACAACTATGAAAGAAATTTCATTAAACCCAGCAACTGTTTTTAAACCTCCTGCAGTTAATACCAAAACTGGATACATATTACAAGGTTAACACAGCATAGCAAATTACTGTTCAATGTGTTAATAAATTACTGTGATAATGATAAATTATATTATATATATCCTGTCCCTCAAAAAACAAAACCACCTAAAGAAACAATCATGATACTTCACCACAAAGGACAACATGCATTATTTCATATTTTGTACCACTGACTGAAACTGCTCTTAATAGATTCAGTCCCTAATTGAACGAAAAGTCAATGTTTACACAATGGAACAGAAAGATAAAAAACAATAATTTTGCCTGGTGTTTTGTATGGGCATGAAACTTCATCTCTCAAGTGAAAGGAAGACCCGGTCTTTGAGAATAGGGTGCTGAGGGGAATATTTGGACCAGAAGAGGGATGAAGTGACTGAAGGTTGGAGAAAATGACATAATGAGGAGGTCTTGAATTTGTAAACTTCACCAATTACTAAAATAAGTCAAAAAGGGTGAAATGTCTGGGACATGTAGTGCATAGGGGAGATGAAAAATGCATACAAAATGTAATTTTTGTTGGAAAGCCTGAAGAGAACAGACCATTCAGAAGACTAGGCACAGCTGGAGGATAATATTAAAACAGATCTTATGGAAATACAGTGGGAAGGTGCAGATGAAATTAATCTGGCTCAGGGACCAGTGCTGGGTAATTGTGAACACGGTATTGGACTTCAGATTCCATAAAGACAGGGAATTTATTGACTTACTGAACATAATACCAACTTGTGAAAAGGAATCTTCTTTGTGGAGTGAGTTAGAATTATTACAAGGCCAAGATGATGTTCTATTAGATACACATATTATGTCTTCATTTGAAGTTTTCCTTAAAAATAAACACAGTTCATATTCTCATATTTTTTTCTTCATTCGCATTTGCAGGGTCTGTGTTTTTACCTCTCTTGGGGATTTATGATTGATCTATTTTTTGGACAGTGGTAGAACTCCTTGCATGAGTGATCAGCCCTATCCGCAAGGCTTCTACCTATACAAACACAGAAAGACGCAGACAACCAAAGATGCCTTGAGTGGGACTCGAACCCATGGTCGCAGCAGCCAGGCGCATGAGGTCCATGCCTCAGATCGCGGGACCAATGCAGTCCATATTATCATATATAAATATATTTTGTACAGTGTATTAATGAAGTTTAATTATTATTTAATATTCTCAAATAACAAGTATTAACCCAAAACCAAATTTTACTCAAAGAAAGATGTTTGGAGAAGTATTTACAAGTAGTAATTTTATATCATATGACAGCTGACACCTCAGCTGCATCTAGTGCCAAAGTTAAGAATGTGTGGAACTTTGCCTCCATTACCACATACATCTTCATGGGCTGATGCTTTCAGTGGGTTATGTCTGCAATAAGTCTGAGAATGTGGTGAACAGAATTTGCTGCACAGAAGTGTCATAATTTGATGATTTCTGTGCAACTTTGGTTGTATTATACCACTTAGCACATAAGACTGACACTACCAATGTAATAAAGCAAAAAGAGCTAATAGCCCAAACTGTAATTTATTTTATAGAAGGAATTACAAATTCTTTCACAGAAGGGACAATACCTTAATTAGTATGCAGACCTTCCATTTGTTATTACCTTTTACATTACGTGTCACTATGGTGTCATGTGTAGAGACGTATGGTTTTGTCAGCTCCACTGGAGAAAACCCAAGGTTGTGTTGGGTGGAAAATTACATCAAATATCCCGAAATCATTGTAGGACTCATGGTTGCTTAACCTCTTGAGTGGTACAATCAGTGGGTTCTGAAGAAGATCACTGAAAACAAATAGGAAATATCCAGCACATGTATGATTACTGCAACTCCTTACATCATATTCAGAGCAGAAATTAAATACTGTACATATCACACTTGTTTAAAGTGGGTAGTCATGATAACAAAACTAACACTGTTATTTCTACAGAACTAAAATTTCAAGGGCATTGGCTCTGGTAATGTCAGAAAACAGTGCATTTAAGAGGCACAGCATAGGATAAACTGTGCTGTAAAAAAATTGAACCAACAGTTCTGTAATAACTTGCAGCACACTGTAACCCAGACAAAAGAAAAATAAAGGTTTTTGTATGCAATGTAAGTTAATATAATTTCTCATATTAAACTATGTTTTGCCCACCATTAAAAGAGACCTTGTGTCTACCACACTATGAGAACAACCAAATGATTACATTGAATATATTTCTACACAAGTGCAAACATAAACTTTGCTGGTGTCTGAATCATATTACATAACAACACACTACTCAGCTTGGCAACATGCACAATCAAGAATTAATCTGCAAGAGTGGACTAGGTATCAACATAATTGGTAGCTTGCGCAGTTTCCGGGGTGACTTGTAATGAAGATATAGTAGCTAAGGCAACACTGGAAATTTGCTGTGTGATCATCAAATCTTTTCCTGTAGGATTATGACAGAGGAGGTATCACTGGTATTGCAAGCAGTAAGAACACTTCATCTATGAAAGGACATTTTACTTACTTATAAACCATCCCATGACAAACAATAAGACTACGATCATCTGACCCTGATGCAAACAGTGGGTACTGCCTGTGGTATGCTACTCCTCTCACTGCTGTTCCATGCAGACGCAATGTTTGGTATGGTTTGGTTGAGAGGTCTAGATCAAACCACAACATCTTGCGATCATATGTTCCAACCAAGAGGTTGTCTCCACCTACAAATAAATATTCATCTAATATGACAGTGAATCCAAATCTCTGATCTGCAAAAGCATGTTCTATTTCCAGAATACTAATTGTGCCATATGTTAGGGAAACTCTAATTACCACAGTTAACCACTGTGTTCTGTGCTCTTTTCTACTGAATAAAAAGAGGCCAATCTTTGGCACTGTGGTAACAATTCTGCAGTTTGCTAAAAATGGCAATGTAATTCTAGCTTATGTGCATTTGGAGTTTTGGTAGGTAAAACATTACACTCTCTAGAGTGATTTTAACAGTTTATCTCTGGTACTAGAACAAAGTATTCAAAAATTAACAATATGCAAAACTCAAATCTGAAAGGTTTGCCCTATTAATCTGCATTTTGAATATACACATATGATAAATTTTCTTAAAATAATAATTCATGTTCTATGGCACTCAATTACTGTTCTGCAGTGTAATAGTTATCCAAGTTCTGTACATTTTATCTGCCCATTAGTCCTACAGACCTACATTAAGTTACAGATTAATTTATGGAGAATAAAAATACAATTTCCCAAATGCATTTTTAACAAAAAAAATCGTTATTTATAAAGTTGCTCAATACTGTAGACAAGAATTACAATAAAGAGATATCTTAGAGGAATTACCTGGGTGGATGGCAATAGATGAAATCCACTTAGAATTTGAATGTAACTTTTTCACTAATTCCTGCTTAGCCAAGTCATAGACCCGAACAATCTTCTGTGTCTGCAAAATATGATAAATAAGAACATATTATTATTCCAATTCCTTCTACACTTCTAAAATACAGAAACAAACTAGTTATACACAATGGTTTTGCACAATGATGGTAGGATGCATGTTCAAGATTCCAAAAATAATGACACTTTAACACCAAGAAACATTAATAAAACATTCCAAGCAGTGAATCACATCAATGCAGAAAACCATGAACAAACAAATCACTGAATGGCTTCTTTATTTCTGAAAGTGTTACAAGATAAACTCATACCATGCAGAAAGAAAGGGGGAAGAGCACAAGAAGGTAATGAGACAAGAATATCTTAACATCTGGAACATACCACATCCTCTGGGTTGTAACACTGTGCGCTCTTACAGCATCACAACCCAGAAAACCACAACCAACATACTCACCACAATGAGAACATCAAACCTCAGACAACCATGAAATATTTATATGAACATAAGATAATCACTCTTCTCAAAAATTAAATTTACCATAACAAAAATTAAAGCTGAGCTAGACTGATCTTCCCAGTCACTATTTAATATTGTTCTGAAAAATATACATGCACTGCTTCAGTAACTGGTGATCTATATTAAGACAATTCTTACTTTTTCTGCATACCAAATTAGGAAGAAAATCCCATCTTATATTCAAATAAATACAGTAATTATAAATGGGAATAAAAGGTGTTTCATGTAAGACAAATTATGAAAACAGTGGTTAATACTGTTGTTTCTGCATACAAATGTTACAAATTATTAACACTGCCACTGCAGTAGAAAGGACGCTATTATTTATTCTGAACGTGTACTCCTGGCACACAAATTGTATTGGAGATGGCAAGGCAAGCCTAGAGAAACTGCAACTGTCTCTCAGATCAAGACACACTTAATTAAAATTATATGACATCCTGTGACAAACAGGACAGGTTTGGAATAAAGACAATTTAAAAGTAATGGTGTTATTTTACTTACTGCAACAAAGAAGAATGGGCGTACAGGATGGAACAGAACACACTGCACCAAACCTTTCGATTTGCTGAATGGTACCTGTGATCGTCGCTTTGACAACTGATGAATTACTACTGAGCGATTTTGTCCTTCAGGCATTACAGTAGCAAAATAGTCACCTTTCCCATGCCATGTGACCTAAAGAAAAATGTTAAAATGTACTGTAACAACCTAATATCATGAATTACAATTAACAATCAACACAGTAGACTGATTTATCCCACAATCATTATCATTTTTCTAGAAATTACCTGTCTTACTTCCTTGAAGTGACTGATTATGATACGAATCCCATTCTTCCAGATGTCCTCACTGGCCTGTTCCCACTGTACAGCTGTCTTAACCCTTTCTGACACTGGAAAGAAAGCAACAATATTTTTCTTAACCATTAACTACCACTGAGAGAAAAAGTAAGATGTAAATGGTAATGTTATACTAGTTGATACAAAATCTTAGAGAAACCACGTATCTTTACATGGGAGAACACGGGGAGTATAAAAGAACAGAAAACTAATAGAAAGAACTAAAAAATAACCATTGATAAAGCATACACCAAGCATCAGTATAGTACACATGGATAGTGTAAATTTTTTTTATGTCTAATGTTTAGCATAAATGCACAGAGTATGTACTACATAACACATTTACTTTCATGTAAAAGGAAATACCTGTCTCAAATAGAAACAAGCCTGAAACAAATATGTACAGGTCCTTTAAGATTCTTTTATAAACAGGCTTTACTGCAACACATTATCACTTTGCAGCCAGCATCTAGACCAGTATTAGAAGCTTAAGTACCTAAACAGAGCACATTCCTACTTAAGACATTAATAACTGTTCAGTTCAGTAGGTTAGAAACTGCCATCTTTTATAAAAACGGAAATTTCACTTCCATGTTCACAAGACTGACACCAGATCCTATGCTGAGCCAGATAATTCCAAAGTAACGAAGTTCACTGTTACATTTCATAACATCCTAGTTATGGTGAGGGGCTGTTAGTTCTCCACCCAACCAAAAACCTAATGCAACTAATATTCAGTACATTCACAGCTATACTCCATTCCTGGAGGCTGTCTCCCACATTAAAATCTTGTACGTATTACATGAAAACAAAAGACATATATGCTGAGGTTTCTTGGAAGAGAATAAGAAACTACAGAATAAAGTCTGTACCTTCTTAAGTTACAAGATAATATTTTTTTCCATGTTAGTTAGTTAGTACTAAGGGCCTCTTACTAAGTTTATTAGTAGAATTTTCATAAATAAACAAATAAGAATCATACAAACCAACAAACCATGTCAAGAAATGTGTGTGCATTTTGTAGGAATGAGACTTGGATCACAAAATATACGCATGATGAAGATGAAGCTGCGTTAAGGACGAACATATCAATGACATAAATGTTTAAACCTCACCTACAACATCCTGTTCTGGTGCTTCATCCAGTAATGAGTCTGTCTTAGAACAAATCAAATGGTCCCCTACTCCAGGGTTAACCAACAGAACTTTACGATCTGCTGCAACAGCAATTAGTGACAGAGCCTGATTTGGACACCAACTTACTGACCGCACTATGCCACCTACAGGAATTGTCCGAACACAACGTCCAGTTGATATCTCCCATACTGAAACAACATAACGACTATATAAATACAGTATCATATTTAACCAAATACTGAGTCTTCAATTTATGCGGCAGCGGTCGTGCTTGCATTGCGTGGTCGGCCGGCGCTCTGTTGATGTCGGCTGCTGCATAAACTGAAGACCCGGTATAAGCTGTTTTGCATATAGCGACAAACCTCCACAAATGAAAACCTTCAGGAAAAAATAGTTTTATTACTTGTACATATAAAATTCTTAGATACACACATAATTTATTCATTCCATTTCTTCACAGTGACCTGATTTAGGCCCATCAAATGCTTTTGTTGCAAAATTTGCATACATAATTTTTGTCTTTGCCCACTCTCACTTACTTGCTCCAGAAATATCATAATTCCTGAAAGTCAAGCAATTATTAGTCTCTTTGGTATTCCTGATTACCAGGCTTAATAAATCCACTCATCTGCTTGTCCATGACAAGTGGAAAGAAACCTGATTTTTGACCCCTTGCTTTTATATATATAAACACACATTAAACAGAAAATCTGAAAATTGCATGAATATACCCTTTTGTTAATGTATCAATGATATGTTTTTATGTTGACACAGCAAAGAGATCAAAGGGAAATACAGTTCACTGGCTGTTTGTATTCACCTCTATATGCATGATTTTCCCTGGTTAAGATCTTAAATGTAATATTGAAATATGCAATTAAATCTTTACCTTTAACAGTTAGATCATCAGATCCAGAGACCATATATTGCCCTTTAGGTTCAACAGCTATGGAACGAACCATATCTGTATGACCCTCATAGACCATGGACATAACAGTTGGGAATGGCTGCAGATCCTTGGGGTTTGGCAACTGAGGCAATAAATCCTCAGGTTCAATAGTCAACTGCAAAATCAAAAACAATTAAATAAATTACATATAATAATAACACACTGTAAAGTATGTAATTTCCATCCTGACTGTAGATCCCATTTCAGCATATCAAAGTGAATAAGAGAGAGTTTTGGATATGACCACAATAACACATTTTGATTCCTGATTATCAAGCTGAAATACCTACCAAAACAGAGTACACTTTTATAAGGTCCCAACACACTAATCATTACATGTTTCTAAAGGTGTAACATAACCCCATTTTTAGCCTTAATGATCACAAGTTAATATAATCAAAGACCAAACACATTCAGAGAAAAATGTTTTATGAGACATTACACAGAACATACTGGTAACAAGAAAACAAGACTAGAAACTCAGCTTGTTGCATGGAAAGTGTTCAACAAATAAGTACTAAATCTGAAGGTTTATAACAACGGTGCATCACAATAAACATGGCTATTTTTATGGACATTATTCATCTTGTTTTTTTTAAAAACATGATATTTCAGAAACTGGATCTGTTTCTGTCATCAGGTAAAAGATAGGGAGAGGGGGTTCACTCAGCTGGGCCCCTTAGAACAAGCTCATCTCGATCATGGAGTAGGAACATTTCACCCCTCTTTCTTGCCTGATAATGGAAACAGGTTTAAATTCTAAACCAAAGCAATGGATAATACCCATAAAAGAAAGTGCCATCTGCCATTTCATGTGTGCATAGATGACAGAATGAAAGCAATATCTCATACAGACAGTACAAACCCTCATTTTTCTGGCTCTGGGACACAGGTATAAATCAAGACAACGTTGAAATCTCTCATTGACAAAACGATCATATGCTGGAACTGAACGTAAGGAGTTGTATTTCTGGGGAACAAAGTGAAGTTTCCTCTTCCATGGTGCTGTTCTCAGTTTGTTCCACTCCTTAAGCTGTTTAAACACAGAACACTTCATAAGCGCTATCATTTCTATACCTTATTCAAAACAGCAATAAAATGTAGATAAAACAATGCTTTTACATGAGAAATATGACAAGAAATTGTATTTATGTAGCAAAAGTTTTTTGAAAATACCATATTTACATGGATAATTGTTATATTCTAATTACCTCTCTCTTATCAAAGAGGTATTCAGGTGGAGGGTTATACGACTCAGCATGACCTGGAAGATGACGTTTTGGAGCAGGAATATGGTTTTGAATGCGTCTCATATGCTCCACTCCTTCATCTGTTTGCCACAACATGAAAAATTTAGGTTCGTGACTCTCTTTCTTCTCCTCCTGAGGTTTCATCCAACCCATCTTTATTGCATGTACCATCTTTGCTACCTTCCTTGCCTCAACCCTGCTTGGCAAGAATGATCGTTTGTGATCAGGAACTCGAACAATTGGAGTCTTCATGACTTCTGATGTAAACCATTCTACCCAAGGCTGCCAACACAAACAGAAGTGACACTGTAAATATTAATTTAATCAAAAGGTGAAATACTAGATCTCCTGCCAGTATTCTTCACAGTAAGACATAAACATATAATTATGATTGTGGTTTAAATAGTATACCTAATGCATTTACTTTCCAGCACATACATCATTAAGTAAATGTTTAGCACGCATGTAAGATCATGAGGGTAGCAAAGCACATTATGGCCAAAAACGAGGTTAACAACATTAAAAATCAATCTAATTTCAGTAATATAGAATAAAAAATGTTAATGTCAATATTTCACACTTCTGTATTTCAAGGTTTTTAATGCAACATTTCTATTTTTCTGCAGTTTGCAACTCTACTGCAAAATTGGACATTTGGCACATTTAAATAAATACTTTACTAAGTTAATCATATGTTGGTAAAGTCCTTCAAAATGTGAACAATAATTTTCTGAAGAGTGGGAGTGTAAATTTGTCATCAGAAAAGACAGGTGAGGGCATGATAAAAACCTGTGTACTCCTTAAGGAAGACATCTGAACCTAAGAAAGAAGAAGTAACAAGGACTGAACAAAATTCTAGTTAGAAAACCATGAGAGAAAAGGCTAGCTGGAAGACCGAAGTATATATTCACATGGATCTTGCAGAAAAAGGATATAGAAAAATGAATTAGATGCTTCTAGCTCAGAAGAGTCCAATAACAGGATATGGTGAACATTACAAGCCTTTAAGTTTCATATAAACAGGGAATTTCTTGATCATCTGAGTAACTATCAACTCTTCAAGACTAACACAAACAACAATCATGAAGGAAATATGCAAATATAACATCAGTGGAGAGGCTCCTGCACCAGAGAGAGAGAGAGTGAGTGAATGGAAAGGTGCAACCCAGAGGAAAAGCACATATATTTCCCATTCTTTCCTATTTCTCACACCTCACCAGTTTTGATGTTTATTGACACAGATACAAATCTAATGTTACAAAACTAACAATTTTTTATATATGACAGCATGGGGTCAGAACTTACTGTCCTTTATACTTCATTTAATGTTATCTGAAAACCATCCAAATACAAAGTAGCAGATCCTAATGAGATCCATCTTTTCTCTCATGAACTTCAGAGCTATTTTTGAGAAAATCAACAAAGTTGAATTTGAGCTTCATATAAAATATGGGTTATAATACACTAACATAAAAAAAAACTTGCCTGACAACTTTTAGTATAGATACCATTACCTGATTTTATCAAAATTTGATAGAACATGCAGATCAATGAACTGACCTCTTCATTACACTTTATGCAAAGAATGCCTATATATATGTATTAGGAATTCTTAGTTTATCTTAAGAAAATAGACAGGAAGAATAATACACACAATTATGTGTCCCAAAAATGAGTGAATATCATGCAACTCTGAACCTCAACAAAATAGAGTTGTTTCTTTCAGCAACAACAATGGATACAACATAAAAGTTGTTTGGTGCAACAGAGACCTAAATTTTGTAAACTGAAGTGTGTCTTCATTCAAATTTCAACAAAAATGACAGTGTAATATGAAATGTTCAAGGAAGTAACCAATATTTGCAAGTAAACAAACAGGTATGTTAAAAGCACTCACTGCTGCATCATCAAAGTTTGCATCTGGGATTTTCTGTGCCTGAAGTCGCTGAATTATATCCACATCTGCATCACATAACACAACATCCTGACCAGTCTGGGGATCTCTGACAGTGCGCCTATAACAAAAATTTTGATTACACAAAGGAAGAAATATCAAATAAGATAAACTGCTGAATATAATATGCCAGCACATTTACTGCTAATTCACTTACCTACTGAAATTTATGAAATACCTAAGCATGATAATAAATGTATTGTACTCCTGAAATGTCTACATATCCAAATAAATAGTCTCTCCTAACAATAATAGTTGGGAAAATTTGAGAAGAGGTGGTACTACAAGTGAAGAAGCATATAATTAACTTGGCTGTGCATTCACACAGCAGTCTAGTAGTTTGAATATACCCAGTTCAAATCCCAGCAAGAAAGAAACAAAAATTCACTTCCTCCCAGTAAAAATGATGATACCATTTTAAAAAATCACAACTATTAAAGATTTTAGATTTTTATATCAGTCTTCAACAGTAAGGTTTCATGATGATGAGTATGAAGATGACTGTTTTCTGGGTTGTTGCACTGCATAGTCTGGTAGAAGTTTACCGAAGTTCCAGAAATGCTTGCTGCCTCTGAAATATCCATAAACTTTCACCAGACTACATGGTACAACAACCAAGAAGACAACTATCTTCAATCATCAACACTTTGATATACCACAAAAGTTTGCAGTGAATGCAAACCTTTCTGAATGCATACAAAAACACCATATAATTATACATTTATAATCACTCCATCATCTTGCAATCAAGGCATGACCTCAGCAGTTAATAAAGCATTATTAAGTAGCACATGAAATAAACAAATATACCAATGAGGTAGTTCATTTCTATTTACCAGAAATTAGGATCCTCCATTCTTTTAAGGAAACTGTCAAGTTCATCTTGCTTTAGAGGTTTCATAACTTTCTTGGCATCCCAGTCATATCCTAGATGTGTATAGTCATCATACCAATTCATAGGAATGTTACCTACTGTGCTGCGAATGTCCTAGAACATAAATCATAAAAATGACATTCCATATCTTCTCATTATTTCTGTTAGTATTAGGAATAAAACATAATGTGTTATTTACCCATGCACATATGAAAGACTGCATATATTATTACAACATACCTCTTCATCTGATGAATCACTCTTATATTCATCATCTATTTGTTTAGTTGTTTCATTCTCATCCACCTGCCTTTCCTTGTTAAATATTTTATTTTTACTAGTAATCTGTGAAATGTTGCTTGAATTTTCTGTATTAGACTTCTTAATTTTTGAGGAACAGGTTCGTTTCATTTTGAATAAGAGTTTTAGTTGATCAGACTCTTTCACCTCATCCTCATATGACACCTCACTTCCCTCCAAACCTTCAGCACTTCTCTCTTCCTCCTGATCAATCTCTTCACTACCATATTCACTGTAGTCACTATCAGATTCATAATCTTCATCTTTTGTAGTAGTTTCCTTTCCCAGAGATGAAGCACCACTGTCTTCACTTCCTGATTCCCCTTCAACATCATCATCTTCATCTGACTCATCCAATTCATGGTCATCATCTGCATCAGAGCTATCCTCATCATTTGTTACTGATGAGAGAAAATGTTCGTCCTAACAAAAAAAAATACATCCAAATTATAATAATCACAACATGAAATACCGGTCTTATTTCTGTGTACAAAATTAGTTTTGTTGGAGGGCAAGAATTTGATAAAAAACATTTTTGTATAATGTGCTTTCCAACAAATACACTATACTAAATAATCCTATGTGTTAATATGCTAGTCTTTATTATTCATATCATAAACCAAGATCCAACATCACCAGTAAAATTGCATAAATGGTTATAGACTCCATAAATGAGTTTTTAGCTGTAATCACTCAGGATGCTCATCTTCAGAATACAGTAGCCATGTATACCTATCATCAAATGTGAGGTTTACTTACAGATGCTAGATTTAACATATACTGTTCTAACCTAAAGAATGAGGCCAGTAACCGTTTGCACAATTTTACCATCTTCAGTCTATGGAAAGGTTATGTAAGCACGCTACACATTTTCCTTATTCGACCCTAGTATTTTAAACTTTAACATCTGATATAAAAACAAGCTGTGTGTTAGGAGTTTAAAAGAATGATTTGTGAAGCAAATTATAATTCTTTGGTGGTGCCAATAGATTTCTGATTACGACCGAACCACATGCCAACCAAGCACGAACTTCTGGGCACAGTACACACAAATGAAGAAAAAATACCGTTACAGAACTTTATTATGAATTATTAAATCTTACATACATCACTCGTGTCGTTTAGATTTTCTGGTGTGTCTGAAGTGTTGTCATTTTTAAGTGAAACACTGAATTTTCGTTTAATACCACTTCCGTAGGCAGCCATTTTTCCCACCAAACATGTGCTGCCATAGATTGGTACATTATCTATGGATAACATTGATATTATTGACTGCCACCTACAGCTTCACACAGTCGGTAATACGGTTAACTATTATTCAGCAACCAATCTGCTTTTTCCTGCTCT